TTCAAAGGTTTTTTTTTTTTTGTTGTTGTTGTTGTTGTTGTTGGTCTTTTGGAGACAGGGTCTCCCTGTATCCCTAGCTGTCCTGGAACTCACTAGGTAGACCAGACTGGCCTCAAACTCACAGAGATCCACCCAGCCAAGAAAGATTTCTCACATCCTTCTGTTGGGAGATTTTGACACCTGTCTTTTGCCAAGTGATTCCTGGAAGTCATACTGAGAGAGTTCAAAGTCCTTGTCTGTTTGTAATCATGATCTAGTATCCTGTAGGACGACTGTCAAATGGTCATTTTTGACATGTACAGGGACAAATTATCTGCATACTATGTTTTAATCTGTTCATGGAGCTATGTTTAATGGTAGTTCAAATGAAGAAAATAAGAAGTCATCTAACACTCATGCCATTAAAAATATATTAAAAATCAACAATGAATCACCATATAGAACAATAAAGATACTGAGGGCAAATACAGATAAGTTATCATCTCTCATTGTTCATACACATGAGGATAAATAAATTTGAATCTTTCTGTACCTAGTTCTCAATACACTATATGGGAACAATAGCAGTACTAAGCTGAATGGATTGTCTGGGGGCCTAAACAGGGCTGAAGCACAGTATCCAAGTTGCTTAAGATAGTGGCATCTGTTAGAGCCCAGGTTTGCAGATGACCCCCACAAAGTAGCAATGCCTCATAAGGCAGGCCCCGAGGGCCCCCTTGCAAAACAGGAACTGGCCAAGCAGCTGCATTTAGAGCTGTCTCAGAACAAAGCTCCTCCCCAGATAATTTTAGATGGTAAACAGGCCCCTGCACCCCAGACCCACAGATGTAAGGGCTGTCTCAGTACAAGCTTCTTCCCCTGAAACTATAAAGATTATTTTTGCTACCTTCCACATTCCCCAACCCCCATAAGAACTTCCTCAGCAGTAACCAGGTGGCTGGTTGTTTTCTCTTCCCAGCTGAGCTGCCAGCCACCAGCAATCCTAACAAATAGCTTTGCTTTGCCAGAGTCCTCCTCTGTTTTCTGTGGCTATTCCCTGCGTGGCTTTTATCTAACAGCATGTACAAACACGGAATTGTATCAGTGTTCTTATGAGCATTAAGCAGTAAGGCTATCTGTCTAACTACCTCTACTGATTTCATGTATCTAATGTTTGTCATTTCAATTGTCCCTGAGCCGTGGTAGGATAAGGTTTAATACAGGATCCCATCCAAGGATACACACTCTGCAGCCTATTATTCTTTAAAACTTAGTCAGTTGTGGCCTTCTGTGTACATTACGCTTTGTTGTACATGGAAGCTTTGCTGGTGAGAGTGAGAGAGCTGCGCTAGTTGTCTCTCAACCCCTTGTTCCACCATGTTCCAGGAGCCTTAGGTGTGCGTTTCAACAGTTCTTAATCAGTTTCCTTTGGAACTAAGATGTCCAGATTGTCATTGAATTCACTCCATATTCCAAGCCGACTTTGGACTTCTTTCTCAGTCTCCTGAATAGGTTTGAACAAAGGCCAGCACATTGGGTTTGCTGTATTAAACTTTTGAAATTTGATGCTGGTGGATTTTTTTCACAAAAATGAATTTTCTTTTTGAAAGCATTAAAATATTACTTATCTTGATTTCTAAGGGGTTTGGTATCCATGTAAATTATTTGTACCAAAGTAGGGTTTGGATGAGGGAGGGGCTTGCCTCAATCTAAACTATGTCTCCTGGCGACCAAACTTCATCTTGCTCTTCTCTCTGATTAGAACTTCTATTTATCTATTTAAAGTTATGTGTGGGAGTGTTTTGCCTGTGTGTATCTAAGTGCACCCATATAGTGCAGTGCCCAGGCTCACATGAGTAAGCCTCCAGTGGCCTGGAAGCCTCCACCTCCCTATGTTCATGAACCAGCCCTGGATCTTAACAATCTTTCTGCCTCCTCTTCTGCAATGGTCCCTGAGCCGTGTGTGGGTGAGGTTCCATATAGGAGTTCCATCCTACACTCTACAGTCTCTTATTCTCCAACACTTGGCCAGGTGAGACCTTCTGTGTGTAACACACTCTGATGTACATGGAAGCCTCACTGGTGAGAGTTGAGGGGTGCATTAGCCTATCTCTACCCCTTATTCCACTATGTTCCATGAGCCTTAGTTGTAGAGATTCCATGGCAGATATGTCACCGTGGGCATTCATTTCCACTCTTTTCTCTCCCATCTGGCCTCTGTCCTCCCTCGCTCCTTAGTCACAGTGCCCCCATTATCTCCACCTTCCCTGAATACCCCCTGACTCCCCCATTTTTTCTTTCCTGACTTCTCCCCTCCCCCTACACCATGGTCCCCTGCATGTCCCTCCCTCCTCTCCTCCCTGCTGATTACTCCCACTTTTCCCACCTCCCTCAGGTAACATCTGTTCCCTACTCTTCCCCCTTTCAGGTTGATTCTTTTCCTTTACCTCCTTGTATCCTATGCCTTTCCCTGGTTCCTGGTGTTACATCAGAATTTATATACTCACATATAAGGGTTTGGTGTTACAATACGCAAATGAGGAAGAACATACGGTCACTTGTATTTCTGGGTTTGTACTACTTCACTTAGTATAATACTCTATAGCTCCATCCATTTACCTGCAAAATTCATAATTTCAACATTTCTTTTCGCTGAGTAGAACTCCATTGTGTATATGTGCCACGGTTTCAATATCATTCATCAGTTGAGGGACATTTAGGTTGTTTTCATTTTCTTAGCTATTTTGAAGAGAACAGCAACAAACACAGATGTACAGGTATCTCTACAGTAGGTTAGTCCTTTGGGTATATGTCAACAAGTGGTGTAACTGAATCATATTTATTTATTTTACTTTATGTGTATGAGTATTTTGCTTGCATGCTTGTAAGTTAACAACATGCCTGCTATGCTCACAGAGGTGAGAGCTGGAGTTTGGGGCAGTTGTTAAATGTCTTGTGGGTGCTGGGAATAAAGTCCATGTCCTCTGCAAGAACAGTCCATGCTCTTAACCTCTGAGCCATCTCTCCAGTCCCAATTGTATTTATTTCATAGGATGTATAAAACCTATAAATGTTAAGCCTTTGGGGAACATATTAGAAAAATTAGTTTTTTCAGAACGTTTTGGATCTTTTAAACACCACAAAGCTTAACATCTAGAGGAAGAAATGTTTTCACAAACAAACTCAGTGAAAGTAGATGAAGAATGCAGTAATAAACAGGGCTTCCTGCAGAGTTTGCAGGGAAGAACAGGCTCTCAGTTTATGGCACTGTCAGGGCAGGTCCTCTTTTTCAATAGCACTATTTCTCCTGCTCACTCTAAACAGATCAAAGAGGCAAACCCTTCCCTCAATCTCACACTGTATTCCTGATGAAGGCAAATCACCTTCAGAAACATCAATATGTTATAGTCTTCACATGAGACAATTGATAAACCATCAGCTGCCTAGTGGACTCCCATGATTCGCAAATGTCGTTCCCTAGCTTTCTCATGCGTGCTGCCCTTTAAATCTGAGGGTCACAAAAATCTGCTGTCTTATGTGGTACATGTATTAAATTCTGGCTTTTATGCAAAAACTTGGACAGGACATAGTTGAGGGAATTAGCAAGTATGTTGTTTCTGCTTTTAAAAAATAATTGCTACAGCTAAATACCTACTTTATTATGAAATTCTTATATTATTCAATTCAATTCAATTCTGTATCCTCCATAGAATATTTCCTGCATTTCATTATTCCTCACACAACATGTTATTCATCTTCATTGAGAGTTTAATTTCTGCCCAGTGACATTATTCACCTCTGATCTCATCGTACTTCTTAGAGCTAACTTACTTAGCATTGAGATTTTGGTATCTTTTTCTTCCATCTGGATGTTACAGTAGTACAAATATCATTGGTAAGTGAGATGATGAATGTCTGTCCATCTGTCAGTGGGAGAGGGAGAGAGCAAGGAAAAAGAGATGGAGGGGAGATTGCTGTGTTGAGTGGATATTTTTTTATAACCATACCCAGCTCTCACTTATGAATAATATCATGTTTTCACTATAATGATATAACCACATAACTATAAATCTCCTATTCAATTTTTGTGTCATTTGTCTTTTAGTCACAGTACAGTATTGTGGATCAAACTCAGAACTTTGAGCCTTGAAGGCAAGTCCATACCCAATCCATTATATGCATGTGTGTAATGTATATAAGAAAATCAAGTATTTTGTGCACTGTGTACATGTAATATAATGTTGGAAACATGACATTTGAACATTATTCACATTATATTATCCTCTCAAAATCATTCTTTTCCATATATTTACCTAGAACTTTAATTCAGGATAAATTTTATAAAGATCTTGCTGAAATATATGTTAAGTCCAATAAATTGTTTGAAATTTTCTCTCTAACTCCCCTACCCCATTAGGAGCACTATAACACATATTGAAAGAGACATATGGAGAACTTCGTGAAGAACATAGATGTATTAAGGAGAGTAAAATGTTCATGGTTTTTAGGAAAAATGTAGTAGTTTTCATCTTACAGAAATAAAAGGCATTATTACTAAGAGGAAGGCTCAGTATGAGCTCCACATGTGTTTTTTCCCTTCCTTTGTGTCCCATTAGGTGAACAGCTGATAACATGACCAACCACACAGTGGACACAGATTTCTTCCTCATGGACCTGTCTGACAGCAAGCAGCTCCAGGTGCTCCAGGGCTTTCTGTTTCTGCTGATTTACTTGGTGTCCCTCATGGGGAACCTTCTCATCATCATGCTTGTCACTGTGGACCAGTGTCTTCACGCCCCCATTTACTTCTTCCTGAAGAACTTGTCCTTCCTTGATGTGTGCTTCATTTCAGTCACAGTCCCAAAGCTCATTCTTAGCTCTTTGTCTCACAGGACATCTGAGTTTTTCCTCCTCACAGCCATGTCCTGTGACCGCTATGTGGCCATCTGTCACCCACTACACTATGATGCTATCATGAACAGGGCAGTCTGTATGCAGATGGTAGCTGCCTCTTGGCTATTTGGAAGTCTCTTTGGGTTCCTATATTCATATGGCACCTTCTCATTATCTTTCTGTGGCTCCAGAAAAGTGCCACAGTTCTTCTGTGATGTCCCCTCTCTACTGAAGATTTCTTGCTCAAAGATGCATGTCACCGTTGTCTCTGGTCTCATCTTAGGGCTTATGTGTGGGTTTTTCTGCCTAGTTTCCATAGGGTTTTCATATGTTTACATTTTCAACACAGTGCTGAGAATGCCCTTGTCACAAGGGAGGTCAAAAGTCTTCTCTACCTGCATGCCCCATCTCATAGTCATCACCACATTTTTAGTCACTGCTGTCACTGCCTATTTGAAACCAGTTCCTGATTCCCCACAGCTTTTGGACTTTTTGGTGTCTGTTTTGTATTCTGTGATGCCTCCATCTATGAATCCTATAATATACAGCCTAAGGAATAAGGAAATCAAAGCTGCTTTTTGGAACTACTTATGGAAACCAGATCATTATGTGTTTTACAGGGGGGAAAGCTGTCATACCATGTAGAGCGACTACATGAAAACTTTTGCATACTTAGCTGTGTCCTATTTTCCAAATATGTTCATTGTGTTATGTAAGAAGTTTATTGTTTTAGTTTAGAGAAATAATTGACTTAAACTTCTATGAAAGGGTTTACAAGTTCATAGTCCTGAGTCACCTTCAATTATCTCAAAACCTGCTTGAGCTGGGTATTTACTTAAAGTGCATCTGTGCAATACTAACCTGAGAATCACTGTGACAAATTTCTGAATGATGTAAGAAAAGTGTCCTCTTCATACTACTTGAGACCTCTTGACTACATTTCTTTACATGAGCAAGATAATGTGTTTTAAATTGGTAGATTATCCTACTATTCACAAGCAAAAATCCAAGGTCCATGTGGATTCACAACATAATTTTACCAGAACTTCAAAAAAGATCTACAATGAATAATATTTGAATTAATAAAAATAAAAATAGAAAAATTTCAAACTCCTTCTATGAAGCCAATATTATTCTAATACCAAAACCAGAGAGGGAGGAAGAGAGAGAGAGAGAGAGAGAGAGGCTAGGTAAAGATACAACCAAAAAGAAAACTATAGACCCATATCCTTTATGAACATAGATGCAAAAATCCTCAACAAGATACTTGCAAACCACATAAAGACACACATAAAAACATCATCCATCAATACCAAGTTGTCTTTATTACAGAGATGCAGATCTGATTCAATATATGTAAGTCAATAAGCATAATAAATCATCTAAATGGACTTATAGACAAATGTCACATGATCATCTCAACAGATTCAGAAAAGGCCCTTGACAAAATCCAACATGATTCCTGGAAAAAGTCCTAGAGGGAATTGGGCTGAGTGGAACATACCTCAATATAATTAAGGCTATATACAATAACCCCAGAAGCAACATCATTCTAAATGGAGAAAAAATTAAGGCATTTCAATTAAAATCAGTAATCAGATAAGGCTGTTCCCCCTCCTTTTCAATATACTGCTTGAGCAATAAAACAAGAAAAGGAAATTAAAAGGGTATTAATTGGAAAAGAAGCCAGATTATCACCACTTGCAAATGATATGATATTGTACATAAGAGATCCCAAATATTCCATCAGAAAACTTATGGAAATGATCACATTTTCAGCAAAGTGGCAGGATACAAAAAAATGTTTAAAAAATGAGTAGCTTTTCTACATATGAATAGCAACCAATAAGAGAAAGAGTTCATGGAAATACAATGACAATGGCCACAAAAATCTCTAGGAAAAAATCTAACCAAAGACAGTAAAAACTGTAAATCTCTGAAAAAAGAGATTGAGAAAGATCCAAGGACACAGAAATAAAAAAGACAAGAGATCCAATTTAAAATTCTATGGAGAATCCTCTCATTCCTGTCCCTACAGGCCTCTCTCATAGGCTAACTTCCACAGGCATTGCATGACACGGGTGCACTTACACACATGCATGTAATACACTCATTGTGTTGTTCATGGAATTAATAGTGTGAGGATGACCATCCTACCAAATCTAGGTGTGGATCCAATGCAATCCAAATCAAAATCCCCATGACACTATTCACAGCAACA